CACTTCCTGCACATTCCCCAGAACACACTGTGTAATTGGGGCATGACTTACAAACTCCTTATCATACCTTTCAGTAAAACTATATTTTGACACTTGTTCAACCTAGATACTGTGACCTGACTTTCAATGCTTTATTTTAGTAAACCAAACAATAATAAAATTTAAAGCTCATTCTGATAAATAGCATATTGTTACAGCACTAGGACATTGGAGGGGAAGTGAATGAAAACTATGGATTTGCACTAAGCAAAATAAATCTAACTTCATGCCCATAGGCCCAGTTTTGACTATTACTTACAGTCCAGAGCAACCTTGTTGCTCTGCAGAGGTCCTTAAGATGTCTAAACACTGGTAAAGAATTTTTATTCCTTCGTGTTGTTAACATGCTTCCGGACCAGCTGAGGCAAGCTGCTGTGTTTTGGAAGTCAGCTGAAGAGAAAAACTATTTTCTCTTGGTTTGTTTCTACCAAAATTAACATCATTTGTTGTCTAGGGGAAAAAAAAACAACTACTTCTAGCATATAGAAGTTGCTCCCCTACTCTTTACCACTGATGATACCTTGTAATTCAGAAGTTCATGTCAGTTTGAATTTTTAAATTGTTTTGCATCAAGTCTTCAAATGACCTATGAATTTCTCTCTTTCAGGCTGATACAAACAGGGAACGCATTGAGCAAGCGAACATCAGAGCCAAGAAACTAATTGAAAATTAAAGCCTGCTGTCATTGTTCAATGACAGCCTCTCCAGCTGCAAGCCACCATATTCATGGATCTGTGAAACTTCTATTCTGAAATCAGAGGGGCTGGGAAAAATGAAGCAGTACCCCTTCTGTAGGGATTAGTTTTCTTTTATTGCTTCATGTAAACGTGGCCTTGACTCCAAGAAAGCAGCCAACTTCCTTTTACTCATCTGCCTTCACTTTCTTTAAACTGCTCAGGGCTAAAAGCGTTAGGGCTTTGAGAATCTTCCTGCATGTTTTATTCCTCTTCCCAGTTTCTTTGTATTATTTTTTTTTGAAATGTTATTTTCCTGCACCGAAAATTCAGTCCTTTATTTAAGTTGAACAAGCAGGGTAACCTGAATTCACAGTTGTGGAAAGTTGGAGGGGGCACTTTGCACTGTTTGAAATACCTCATAAGTTGAGTGTCTTCACTAAAATAGGGACTACGTGAACATTGTCTGATTTGTATCTCTAGCATCTAACCATAGTTTTGCAATCCAAACCACGACTGGTTTGGAGTTGAATTTAAGGATCACAGAATTGAAGAGGCCCATTACTTACCACTTGTGGGTTGAGGGCTTTAAAACACTTCCTAACCACACAAACTTTAAGGTAATGGTAACCAGAGGGATATACAGGTTTCCATTTCTTTACTGTAGATTGACATCGGTTTGGAGTCCATGACTAATCATGCTGCATTTTTCTGATAATATTTGTTGTGTATATCTGATCTAAACCCCATGCACACACATAGGAGAAGATAAAGCTGTCTCCCCAAGGTATTTATTTGATGGAAAATTTTACACCCCTTATCTAAAAGTTAACTTTTAAGTGTTTGAATGATGCATCTGACCTGGAAGAAACTGAGTAGAAAAGCATGCAATTTTCTTGCATCCCTTATCTTTCTCTCTTTTGGCCAGTTTTCACTGGAGTTCAGTTTATGCCTTTCTCCAGTGCAAAATAATGATTGAGATCTGGTGCGGAGTTTGCTCTCAGCAGTGACTTTGGGGGTGCTTCTTAAACCTACCAAAACTAGAGAAGCTTATTGTAAAACTTCTTTGTCACAAGTCTGGAGGAAGAAGTAGCTATTTATGAGCTGTATGCTAGTTCAAAATAAACTAGTTCTAAATAGATTCCTGACTGGTTTATTATTGCAGACTTTGGGACTGGCAATTAGAAATATTACGTATCCAAGTTGCTTGCAAATAAAATGTTTTTCCTCTGTTGCAGAATAGAGGAGTTTCTGACCAGGTGAGGTAAAGCACTCTCCTGAGAAGAAAAATAGTTTAGTTTTACTGCAATATAAAAAGATTTTCTTAAAATCTTGATAGTAATTAAGTTGCAAGTGACTTAGATTATTTTAACTCCACCCAGCAATATATTATGCCTTTTTTAAAGTTGAAAATGGTGGTTTGGAATAACCTTTGATACTCAGTGTTTGGATGGCAAAAATCTTCAAATCAAACTGATTGGATGAATAATTAAAACTAATAGCATTATGGGGTGCTTTTTTGAAAGACAGTCCACAACTACCCTGTAGCCACTAATATTGAATCCCAGAGTCAGAGATGACACTAATCCACCAAAATGCAAGACAGTGTTTAAGCATTCTGTTTTCTTTTAGTAAAACTACAGTCAGTGTTACCAGTATCTTTTCAGTTGGCTGCCAAGACAACTTGCTAGTTAAAGCAAAAAGAACCAAAACCAACAACCACACGCACAAAAAAAAAAATCATACACAAATCCCACCAAACTAAAACCCAACCAAACAAAAACCCCCAAACAACTGACCAAAGGATGGGGCAGCTGCATGTAAAAATAGGCCAGTGGCAGTTTGCCTTATGTGAATAAGGTAAAATCATTTTTAGGGGACTAGATACTTGAGTAGTGTGGGTTGGCTCCTCTCTAGCTTCTGGTTATTGTTGGCATGCTAATGAATTAAAAAAGTTCACTAGCTACCCAATCAGTAAATGAAGATTTTGTGCCTAAAAATGCAAGTAGCAAAGAAGTACTTTTAAGAACTTCTTAATGGCATAGTAAACTTTTGAGAAGCCACCTGCATAGGGATTTCATATGCCCTTTTTTCCTTCTTAAAAACTTCAAATTACTTTAAGGAATATTTGCTGCTAGTTGTGAAAGCAAAGTATATGTTATTTAATTATGATTGTCTCCTGGAGCAGAAGACTGAAGTGGTTACCTTATTCTGCTTACACAGTACAAGCCTGCTCTGTACCATTTGGACATTCCAAACATTGGAATGTTTTTCTCCCTTGCCATTGCAAGTCCTTGTTCTTGACTTGCCTGAGCTCTCACAATAAATGAGCATGTTGGCTGATAAAATGCTGTGATTGGTGTATCAAAATTGTAATACTGTAATGAATACCACACAAGGATACAAGTTATGAGACTCAAGTACTATCAGAGTACCAATACTACTTTCTGATGCAGCAAGAGCCAAATCTGTGAGGGAGTTGGTGCCTTTGTTAGTCATAAACAGTTTGCTTCTTGGATGTCTTACTGTTGTGTATAGAATAGATGCTTAATTTCCATATCTATCGTATGAAATTGACACTTGTACATCTTTGTATGTCTGAATGCTATTGAGAATGAAGGTTTACAGTTTCTGCTTTTGATTGTTAAACTATATATTGTGCACAAAAATACATACTTTTATAACTGAATGTGTTTTAAAACTATTTTCTCCTAGAAATGTCTTTGTTTAGTTTCCTGTTGTTGAAAACCTTGGCAGAACTAGTTGCTACTATTCAACTAGGAAGTTCCGTGTCTATTTTTATTTCACAGAAATCCCACTGCTAAGAAAAGAATGGGTGTGGTTGGGAGGAGAGGAATATTGTGGTCTTTAACACTTTAGTTTTGATCCTCACATAATCAACATCTCTTAAATTCACAGTGAACCGTGTCCATCTCTTCTTTGAAAGATCATGATGTACATGGGAGTATACTTCAGGATGATAAAGGAACAAAGTAAAATAATTTAAAACTTTCTAGTTAAGTAGTGGTAACAGATGACTAGCAAATAACTAGTCCAGTAGATGAAATGTAGTGATTTAACCTACTGCCACTACAATTTCATTTGTGAGGCATTTTAAATTGTATTTTCTCTCATACCAGAGCCTCAGATTCCCAGAACACTCTTTAATGGGGAGGAGGAGGTACAGGGAGAAAGAGACTTTTGTCAACTTGCCACAGTTCTAAGCTGCAGTAGAGACTAACATCCCTGGGAAGAGCTTGGAAGAAGTACTTCTACTATACTATCTAATATCTACCAGGAACTAGGGACACCCTGGTTCTATAACTGTTATGAGGAGGCAGTACATGTCACATGGGTACACTTAAAGGACAATAATTGGTAAATTCTAGCTAGTTTGCTCCTTGATGAAAGACAGCTTTTTAGCACAGCAGTAACTGTACTATGAACTGCAGCACATGCTGCTTGTACAGCTACTTGTAGAAAACACCTCTGTGAAGGCAATAGGGTAAAACAACTCCCTGTTCACAATGACTTGCAGCTGCTAATTCACTTTGCTGCATTTGAAGCAATGCAGTGTCTAAATGTTGGTGGAATAGATGGATTAAATGTGTGTCTTCCTGAAATGGAAAACTGGACAGCAAGTGATACAGGTCTGAAACAAAATACACAAATGGTTTCTATTGTTAACTAGGGTAATGCTCTACCTCAGTAACTCCAAAATTAAAAAGCTGCAAGTAATTATGCACAGAAATCAAACTGGTTTATAGCTTCACTTTTTGCAGGGTGGGGGTGATGAGAAGGGAAACAGGGAGTCCCAATATAAAATTACTGATAGGTTATGTAGAGTGCTGAAATGTCTAGAACAGCATTCCACTATGTGACTTATTCACAGCTCATTGCTGTGAGTTAAACAGTCAAGGGCATCAGCCAGTTATTTTTTTCCTTGCAACATAAATAAGTCATCCTCTGTTCTGGAACAAGTTTAGTTAATTAGGACTAACTTGGTTCCAATCAGTATTTTACGTGACGCTTTCTCCATTTTGCTCTACAAAAGTTTTGATAGCTGTCATAACTCCAAGGCAGCAAAGGAGCCTAACAATGAGAAATTGAAAGGTTTCTAAATGTACTAGTGATCACAAAAAAGAAATGTTGACTTACTTAAATACTTCCCACTAAGTTGTTTTTTTTTTAGAGCAATGCTAACTCCATAATTTTCAACAGTTCTGTTCTACCATCTCTTTTTACACATTGTTGAATAGAAAATAACAACATTGGTAAACAAACACATTCAATGAGAGAAGCAGCACCTCTGAGTGCAGATACTTTCAGTAAAAAATTGTACAACCAAAATGGTACCACAGCACAGTATTGCCAAGTGCATACATATTGATGATAGACTACTCCTTTGGTGAATGCAAAGGGGGAATCTGCTAACTGCTAATTTGTTCTGTTGATGTCTCATGCACAGCAAAGCTCTAGGAAAAAAAACAAACAAAATAGTACTTCAAATGGGATTTAGGTATCAAGTACAAGGAGCTAAAATTTAGAACAAGTGTGGAGGCTTTATTCACTACTCAGTTTGCGTGTCTTAATCAGTGGAATCCATTAGTATGAAGTTGAATAGATTTCTGACTATACAGGGCTTTGCATCATGGTAAGACATAAGTGTTCTTAAAGCACTTCACTGTATGCCTTGCAAAACAAAGTAGACTCATAAACATGGTCAGCTGTCAGCTACTTCTGTCAAGAAGCTAGTCGATTTTTTTATTAAAGAATAAGTAGAAATGGTTCCCTGTTAAATGATGAATCACATCCATCCTTTGAATAAGGAGCTGATGTCCCCTAAAACACTCTTCTTCTAGGTATTACTATGTAAGAACTGAAATAAGATGGCAACAGGGTCAAGGAAATAAATACCTCTCTGAGCATCTCACAAAAGAACCACTTATTTTTAATCATAATTATGGGTGTAATGTTGAAGTGTAGCTGTTACCAACAACAGACTCAAGTAGTTAAGTGAGGGCTTTCAGTGACATCTTTGTACTACTTAAAAAAATGACAAGTTACACCAAATAAACTTGAACTGATTTTTTGAAAATAATTTACTAAAATATACAAGTACATTTTCCTTTTCAGTATAAGTTACATAATTGCATACATTTTTAGCTCTTTCTAGGTGCTTTTGGTAATAAGGCAGCAGCAATGGGCTGACAACTAAAACCTTCAGCATTGCTCTGTACACAAGGAGTCAGTGCAAGGATATTATATTTTCTAGCAATATACATTTTTACTGAATACACTGAAGATGAACCTGATTTTTATTTCATACAGCTCAAGCAAAACTGGACTGTAGTGCAATTCTTGCTTATGGGAAAAGAAAGCCTGTAGTTTAAAATATAAATGAAGGATGCTCAAACCACAATTTGTTTACTGGAAGCTGTTAATAAAACATTTAACTTAATCACATCTATTTGTGCTTCATTAAAAAAAACCAAAAACAACTAACACAGGTTATCAACTAAAATCTCATTTGTAAAAGTTCTTCTCTGCATAACAGTGCTTACTGCAAGACATACAGTGCATTAGTGGTAGAACTTCCATGTGCTATCATGGAAAAATGTTTCCAGAAGAAATAATCCTCTTACAAATCAACAGCCAGCTTCCTGACAAAAGGGAACTGGCAACTTTGAAATGCTTGTTCCCTTTCTCTGTGAAAGAACAAGCCCTGACAAAGGAGAACATGTAGTATGTTAAAAAGCTATTGTGGCACTAAAATCAAAACTGGCCCCTGGGCAGGTTCATCAGTTCAATACCTATATTCTCTAGTTCAAGTTTATTCAATGTGGTCTTAACAGGCTGTTTCAGACTACTACAAGAGGAGTACTCTGATTATTTCCTTCATCAGTCTTGGTTCAAGTCAGTGAAGCAGATGCTTCGATTCTATGTCTTCTTACTGGTAATATACAGGGTCAGAATAGTGATCATGCAAACTTCTTCTTTGTAGCTGTAAATCGTTCCATGTACTACAAAGAAAAGAAAAAAAATCTAAGATTTTCAGAAATTAATAGGGGATTCATTACTACTAAAAGCAGCTGAGCTTCTGCTCTCAGACTCAAAAACAGTCTGCATCTAAAGCATATTTTTATATCCCAGGCATTATATATTAGAGATCCAACTATTAGAGCTTTAATTTTGAACAAAGACACGCCCAAAACATTTCTGGCATTTGCTGCAATTCCGATTAATGGTCAAATCTCCAGTGTTAAGGATGAACTAGTATTAAATACTTAACGAATGCTGCATAATTCAAAGCATCCCTTATTTTTTGTCACATCAAAGTGAAGACAGGATTGTCATTATCAGCTACCCTTCAAAAGATGCTGATGAAAGAACACCGATCCTGAATCCTACAAGGAAGTTCCTCTGAAGAACTCCTGGAGTTGTTTTCAGAGGTTATTTATGAAGCCAGTAGCAATGACACCACCAACAGACTATTTTGTGCTTTTATTCATCAGCATAAATGCTTAGTACTCTGAGTAAGGACTTCACCAGGAGTTTCTTTAAATACAAAAAGGAAAAAAAAAAAAAAACCAAAACACAAACCTTGTCATAACCTTCCAGTTCTCTGAGTTTCTTGATTTCAAAGAGGTTGCCTTCTACTGCAAGCAGTGAGATCTGGGAATCACTGAGGATACTCTGAGGCAGCATGCTGAGTTCTAGACAGTTTTCTTCTAAACGCAAGACTTTGAGGCGTGGACAGTGGGAGATCTGCACTGAGATCTGGGAAATCTTGTGGAAATAAAAAGAAAAGAGAAATGGGATTAAAATGGTAGTGATCAATGATTATTAAGTGATCTGTTTCCGACTTATACAGAAAAATTACCATATTGTAAATAGAAACTACATTAGTAGTAAGTACTTAAAAAAAATGCATAAGTAACAACTGATCAAAAATCAAAATACACTTTTTATTCCATGATAACAAGCAACCTACACATCTGTTTATCACACTCCTACTCAAGAACTGTTCAAATAATTTTCTGCATGACTAAATCCAGAATTTTTTAGTTAATCAAATCAGGCAGTTTGATGTGTTGGTACACAAAATCTAGTTATGATTCCTCATTTGTGTTGTGTCCAGAAGGTTTCTTTCAGCTATAAAGTTTTGGTGGTCTCATCTTATGTTCCATGGCTGTACTAAGTTCAAGATAAACCATGTCCTAAATTTACATTCCCACAACATCTCAGTTACCAGACCTGATTCTGATTCAAATTGAGTTCGATAGCCTGCAGTTCTCCCACGGTGTCGGGGACATTTTGGATCTGGTTTTTTGAAAGATCTACCACATCCAAATGGCGAAGACCAGAGAGCTGTGTAGGCACAGTCCGAAGCTGGTTTCCAGAAAGGCTCAGGGTTTTGAGAGCTGAAAGTTGTCCAAATGCAGCCGGTAGCTGCCTCAAGTGATTGCCATTCAAGTGAAGTGTTTCCAGTTTTTTCAGTTTACACAGCTCCTCAGGTAAAGCAGCTAGAGAAAAATGACAGAAAAACGTGTGACCTAAAGAGCAGTAAACATTCACAGCCATTTAATTCAAATAAGCTTCTGCAGGGAGAACAGTGCTATATTAAGTAATTTCTTACTGAATTCCTCCCCAGTTTCCAGTGAAGGCACAGATAGATCCCTGCAGAGAAACTTAAGCCCACAGACAACACGTGCTTGTTAACCATCATCTATAAATGTATCAAAAATAATCTGCAGACAAGGCAGACCTTCAAATTATGGCCTGAAATCACTATCAGAAGATTTTAGCCTGTCAGTTATAGTCATTACTTACACTCTGCCAACATGACACCTGAAATACCACAAAATTCACAGCTCCATCTTTGCTCTTCAAGGGTATTAGTCAACTTCCTCAGAAATGAGTTATAATTCATTCTGTGTCATACCAGCATACAAACATCACCAGGTAAGGTCTGCTGGCATCCATTCATCCCTCTTTCCACCTACATGTGGGTATAATTCATGAGCTGCACTACAGAGTCAATGAAGTTTGTAAATTACCTTTGTTTTTTCAAAAAGGCAGATAATACATAGTTAATGCATAAAACCCCTAGTTTCTTCATCATGATTTTTTCATTATGTTAAACAGAAACAGTAGCAACCAGCAACACTGTCTACATGTCATCTTCATTACCCGTTCTCTTGACAAATACTAAACCCTCTGACACTGTTAAAGCCTCACATCAGGTTAAGTCACAGCACAAAACCTCTGTGGGTTTAAGTTCTCATGTAAAATTGGTAATACACTAAGCCACTAAAGCTAATTCTACAAAACTAGTTTTGTAGAATTTATGATTTAGAGGTTCTTATCCTGTACATGAATTCCAAAGATTTCAATTTAGGTGACCAAACTCCTCATTTACATCTTGTGAGAGTTATATAATTAAATTTAGTTTTTGATAGAGAAAATTAGTTATTATCTTAAAACTCAGTGGAGATATTAATTAGCAGGCATACTTAGTTTGTTGTTGTTTAGAGCAAGGCTCTTCAAAAAGGAAAATTTTCCAATGAGTGGTGGCAGGAGCTCTATTTTGTTGTTCGACAAGTCTATTGTCCTTAAGTTGCTTGTTAGCTTCTGCAGATCTTCAGGAAACTATTGGGGGAGAAAAAGATACAGCATTTAAAAAGCTGATACAAATTTGAATGTTCAAGTTGCACAGCTTAAAATTTTAATTGTCTCACTGTTACATACTGCCATATGTATCACAATTCCAATCACCACACTGTGATTAGCAAATTCGTTTAACCCATATTTTTAAATTATTTTTTTTCATCTGGGAAGGGGAAAGGGGTATAAAGAAAACACTAACATGTAGAAGGAGTAGTTTTTCATCCAAATAAGGAAAATTAAAAACATTACATTTTCATCCTCTTATGTGCTTCTCTTAAACATGCCAACATATAATTTAAAATACTCTACAGCCAGTTAATAACTCTATATTTTAGCAGAGTATGCTGTGAAAATTTTTCTCCTGCTTTCCTTTTTTAAATAATTATGCATACCATTTTCCTTATTTATACCCTGTACCACTTTGGTACTGAGCTGTGGCACTCGGTGAATAAAAGAAAAACCTGACAATCACCATCAGGGAGTTCTGGTGAATAAGCCAGTGGTTTTGATCGTCCTTTGACTTGCTATAGAAAAAGTGAAGAGAGGAGGTAGGACAGTGGAAGAAGGTATGTTAGAAAAGGCTTGGAAAATTACTGCAATACAGAGTTATTCTTGGCTATCATGTGAATTGTTGGTTCCAGGACATTCTGTGTTTTTCTGCAGATGAGTCTAAGTTAAGATAATTTCCAATGTAATAAACTTTCAGGATGCTTGCTGCCAGCCCATTGAACAGCCTGTACAGACTATTCATATGCCTACAATTAAATACATCATAAGTACATACATGTGACAAACTGTGGAGTATCTAGGTTACAATACGGTTATAAAATTTATATTGTCCTCCTCAAGTTTACAGCCATTTTCTAAAAGCATAACATCATAACTAGCAATTCTTGAACATATTTGCACTGTAAAGCATAAGCTCATTAGCGTATAAGTGCCCTGACAGATAAATTCTCGATCAGAAGACAAGCAAAAATGAAAAAAATGAAAAAAAAACAACAACAACAAAAAAATCTTGATATATTTTCCATATAAAGAGCCATGTTTCTCCTCCCAGTACATTACCTCAGTAAGCCCTTTTCCTGTGAGCTGAAACACACCAGTTTTCTGTGCTGTCTCCAGGTGGGCTTTTAGTGCACTATTTCCCATCCTAACAGCTCTCTGTCAAGCACACAAAGTGCGAGTGATGGTGTCAGCCAGTTTTACTCCGTGCTAGAGAACTGCAATCCAAAGTCTCTGTGATAAAGCAAAGGTAAGAAGTCACTTTATGTGCACTGTCCCCAACACTACAAGCATTCTGACACACTGAACCTTTTCACTGCTGTGTTTTCATCTCCCTCATAATTAAACCTAGAAGTCTAAAGGTTTACTTGAATTTACCTAGATTAAGGTATCTTCCTTACAGCAGTTTGATTACTGAAACTATGCAACAACTGCAGTTAAAACTAAGTGGAAAGCCGCACATTTTCTATAGTATGCCTTTTCGAGGCCCCGCATCGCATCGTAAGGAGATTCTCTACGGAGACAGGCTGTGATTTCTGTGGCATCTAGCAGCGCTGGAATGCCAACACTGCTACTGTTTTATTTGGGTTTTTTGAGACCTTTATTTAGAGAGCAGACTCCTCTGTCTATTAGCAGACACACGACACCCACCTCCGTAACCCCAGCGGGGCTTAATCCCAGGGCGCGCGGCTCACCCGGGATTAGTGCCGGGCTCGCTGGGGAGTGAAGCCCGCCACAGCACGTACGCAGCCCGACACGAGATGCGCTCCGTGCCGCCTCGGGCCCCCCCGGCAAGGGGCGAGGCCAGCACCGACCCGCGGCAGGCCGCGGTGCCCCCGCCCCAACCCCGTCCGGCTGCTCCGGCCCCGACCCTCGCACCGCCGGGG